ATGGTTGGTTGGTTGGTTGGTTGGTTGGTTGGTTGGTTGGTTGGTTGGTTGGTTGGTTGGTTGGTTGGTTGGTTGGTTGGTTGGTTGGTTGGTTGGTTGGTTGGTCGTTTGGTTGGTTGGTTGGTTGGTTGGTTGGTTCGTTGGTTGGTTCGTTGGTTGGTTGGCTGGTTGGTCGGTTGGCTGGTTGATTGATTGGTTGGTTGGTTGGTTAGTTAGTTGATTAATTTGTTTGTTGATCGGTTGATTGGTTGTTGGTTGGTTGGTTGGCCGATAATTGATACTTTTACGAATACCATAATGCATCCCTCCAAATCATCATGACGTCATAAGGAAAGAGAACCGTTCGACTGCCTATGATTTACCTGTCCATATTTTTCATAGTTGTACCAATACCCATAGCTATATTTTTGACACTTTCCCGATGTGACCATCTGTTTGCAAGCAGAATGTTCATCAGTGATACAAACACAATAAAGATTAGAGCGGATTTCGTATGAGTGGGACACCGTTACCGCACGGTTACCGCACAGTTACCGCATCTGGCCTGCAGAATTTTGGTGAAACAATGGGGCACTAGAATTTGGTTACAGTACGATTACGGACATAGTACAGTACCGTCCGTTTCCCACTCATACGAAATCCGCTCTAGTGCATTTACTTCACAGTTTACCTGACCAAAGTGAACCATATTCTTTAATGACGTCCCAGATCCCCAATGAGCGATAATAACTGGCACTCGTTCCTAATAAAGCAAGCAACAATGTACTGCATAAGTATGATTTTCGATATAACAGTAGTGTTCGTACTCTGGTTCTTAGAAATTTGGAAAGTCGTGGAATTTCATATTTTTGTTTTTCAGGCTTAGGAAGTCGTGGAATTGTTTCATGGGAATTCCTTGAAAATATGCATCTTAAGATTACGACTTGTATTTCACGAATTTAGTTAAAACAAATGAATCGTTTATGCGATACCTCAGCAGTGATGCGCACAACATGACGCTATGTCGAAAGTGTTTAAGTAATTGGAAGCTATAAATAAACCGGGGGAGGGGACTCCGGGTTAAAGGTACCGGAGATGCTTGTCAATAATTTTGAAAAAGATCCATAAAAGGTCCCGGACGTCTTGAAAAAAGGGCGTGGCTGACAGACTTTTAGCCGCTAAGAGATTGTACAACGAATATTGTTAAATTAGTTACAATGATAAAAACGCAGAGGAAAATCAATATCGATGCGCTTTTTCTCTTTTGCCGACACCCTAAGAGATATAGGAAAAAAAATATCCAGAGACTCAAATTGGCACCCTAAAATATTCCCAATCACGAATTTTTACCCCTAAGAGATCCGAGCATCCCCGGTACTTTTACCCTGGACACCGACGCAGCTCACACTAGTTTACCGCTAGTTTCCACCATTTTGATATATTTACCATGTTGATGTTCGAGCTATCAAAACCANTTGTGATATTCACACTGGAATTTGAATTAAGATAGATCCGCAAAATATGAAGCAATACTTACCACATTACGATCAATGTCAGGGTGACGGTTTCTGAGTTTCTCATGCGGGATTCTAACGGAATACCCGAGCGTGAAGTAAAGAGAAATGACGACAGCCATCGCCATCAACACTGTCTGTGCCATACTGTGATGCCAAGGTCAAAATCTGTTATGACTAACGTGGTCAAACTATATGAATGAAGACATTTGAAAGTCTTTTAATAATATATTTGATTGTTTTTGTCTTACATTCGTTACTATTTTATTATATGTTTGATGTTTTGTCTCGTGTTCGCCATGGGATACTTTTTGTGAACAATGTTCTCGGATTTTTAATACGCAATAACATGACATTTATATACATGTACTTATTCGATTTTAAGGCCCGGAGTGGACTGACTCAAGTGCGCAATTCTTTAATTATAAATTATCTAGTACTTGCGAGTCTAATATCTTGACGTTGCATCTTATAATGCTGGAAAGCGCAGCAAAGAGTGCTTCAAAACTGAGATGATTTCTTATAATCACAAAGACCATTGTAAACAGGACTTTGGACTTTGTGCGCCTTATAAAGTTTGTGTCCACATTGACGTAATAATTACCAAACAGTAGAGTTCAGAAATAAATCAAGAAAGCAGAATGAGGAATAGTGATTTATAGTTCATGCGAATTTCGAAATCGTGGTCCTTTACAATTTCCTTTTTTTAAGTCAAATTGTTCTATCACTTGTCTCAGAATTGCAGTTTATTTTTTCAAATAAAAAAAATTTCAACAACAACAAATTACGTACCTGATATGTTGCAACAGTGAAGTGCGCGTTTAGCTGTGACAAGTCTTGTGATCGTGTCAAGTCTGTACAAGATTTTTTTTCTTGGACTATTATATTACAAAAATACAGGTCCAACGGGTATATACCAGTATTTGTGGCCTCCTTGGCAGGCTACTCCAACAGAAACGGACTGTCTACTCTTCTTGGTCTTCCTGTGTTCATTATCTCTACTTTGCGGCCTTATCACAGGGACCCGTGAAGTTGTTGGATTGACCTTAGTCTCCTACGCAGCATGCATATGTCAGTCTTGTTTCGGGTTGCCAAGGAGGATACTTAAGGAATTATAATCGCGTTTGCTCATATTTAGGTACCGAAAAACATATCCATCAGTATGTTGTTTTTTAGTTCAGTTCATTTGAGAATCTTCTAATTTAGTCAATGTTTAGCCAAAAATCATAATGTTTTTGTACAATTCGAGGCAAAAAATGCAATGTAAATCGTATTCTTACAAATACAATTACACTTACTCTTTGATTTTCAAAAAAATTAGAACTGTTTTTTTTGAGTATTGTTTCAATTCCAGATATATTTAGGCTTGTTCAAAGTGCATGGCAACCACTTATAAAGGCAAAACCGGTGTTTTTTTTAAAAAGTGAAGACATTTCTTATGTCCGATCTCAATTCTTCATTGAGTAATGCATACAAGAAAGGATTTAGTAAAGAATTCAAGACCATTAGAAACTTTGAAATAAAATGAGCTTCATTTGGTAGAGAATTCGGCATTATGGTATTCAAACTCATGACAACGTAAGATGGAGTACACATCAAGGCATATGTAGTAAAGATCAAGGCCACGACGAATATTGGCGACATTGTGGAAGATTTTTTTCTTGAGTGGATTTCTTGAAGATCTGCTGTATTCGTGCGTTTGAACGGTTTGTGTCGCTTTAAAGTTGATTCCAAGTGTGATCCTTGGTCCACTTTGTTATTTATCAATTGCCTTTTACTGTTTGTAAAGCTTTGCAAGTGAATTTCATTTTGATATGAGATTGAAGTTGCTTCCAAGTGAGATCCTTGTAAAGTTTGCATTTTGGTTTTCTTCATGTCCTCTATGTTTATATTTTCTTTTCCTTCTCTTTCATTAATACTTTGCAAGTGAATTTCATTTCGATGTGAGATTGAAGTTTTTTCCAAGTGACTTCCTTGTAAAGTTTGCATTTTGGTTTTCTTGATGTCCTCTATGTTTATATTTTCTTTTCCTTCGCTTTCATTAATACTTTGCAAGTGAATTTCATTTCTGGACTCGTCAGGCTGTTGAAGAAGGTCCACGTGGTTAAGCCTAAGGAGGCGCTTACGATTATGTGATCGATCAGGGGGGGTACACTGTGTACCTGAGCTTCTTGATTCTTTATGGATCTCCACCCTCATATCTTGAGTTTTTGTCCGCTTGATGTCCTCGTCGTCTTTTATATCTTTTCTTCCGCTTGAGGCAATTCTTTGCAAGTGAATTTCATCTTGACAATCCTCGGGCTTGTGAAAGACTTGCTTGCGTTTAGGTGATCGATCAGGGTAGAATTGAGTATCTGAGCTTCTCGAACCTCGGTGGGCCTCGACGCTCACTTTGACCGTTGGCTTATCAGCCTCGTATGTTTCGCTTATACATGTATGGAGTGCAGTTTCCGAATGCGTTACAAAGACACGCTGATGTATTCTTGACTTTTTAGTGGAAACGTACATGTCTGGTTTTCTTGATTTTGACATTAATGCTAATTGTTTCTTGTCTTTTTTCGCTTCTAGTAACTTCCAGGTCGTACTTACAAAAGTAAAAGTATTTACTGCAAACGGTACCACAAAAGCTATCAGGCAATATAACATCCAATTGTAAGGATATTTATAAGTATCCAACTGACAAAAGCACCGTCCATTTGGATTTTCGTATTTTCCCCACCCAAGTACAGGTAACAACGCCAAAGCTAATGCCAAAAGCCAAGCACCAAGACATATCTTATGTATTCTGGAAGGGATCATGTTAGCATGGTATTCAAACGGCTTGATTATAGCATAGCAACGAGAAGCACCTAATATTGTGATCAAATACATGGAACAACAGCTAGTAAATCGAGTCAAGAAACCAGTTATGGGGCATAATGTACTGGCCAGCGGATTACCTACCAACAGAGTGATCAGGTAAGGAATAAATACGCAAGACAGCGAGAAGTCAGCAACAGTCAAGTTAAGAATGGTTATCCTTGCGACTGAAAGAGTACGGGAGTTTCGAAGCAAAACAAAGATGATGGGTCCGTTCAGAAACAAAATGATGAGGTTTATCATCAGCCCAAGTTTAAGTCCATTTCCCTCAGTCCTGGCACAGTGACTATGTACTGTCCATGGAATATCAGTGGAGTTTACCATGTCGATTTGGTTTGGTTCTTGCTGGATCAAACAAGAGCAAACAAAAGGGCACTGCGTTTCGTATCTTGTAGTGGACTTTATTAATCCTTTTCAGAATTCTTTCTTTTACATGCTTTTGTGAACTAGACTCCATTCCGGTTGGAAAATGGTGAAATCCATTAAGGTGATAATTTAGCGTCTTCTGAAGGAGAATAGAACCGGGTACTACTGCACGTAACCGTCTCTTCATTGTCTATATTTTATTTTTATCTCGTTAACAAGAACAGGTGTATCATCAGGGGGAACACAGGCTACATCAGGTCCTTAGGCTTAAAATGCCCAGTGTTTCTCTTTTTTTTAAAATTCTTTTGTTATGAACTGTTTTTGACATAGTAAAATGTAAGGAACTGCTCATACTAGCGGCCAGTTCTTACACACTATATTATACATTGAACTAATTTAGTTAAATCCAATTTAGGTCCACATTGTGAAAAAACGCCACCCTCCCATTTGTAATGCAGCCTACGGGCTTGTACATGTACAAAAACGCACATGAGTGAAAAACTAAATATCTGCTCTTTTATCCCATTTGATTTTTTAGATACATTTTTGCCTTTTAAATCAATTTGTGCAATTACGATTACTTGATATGGGAAAGCTCTAGTTTATTCAATAATAAGATTAATATGAAACTATTTAAAAGTAAGAATGAAGTAACGGTTGGTGTGCACCCTCCTCCTACCCCGATATCGATAACTTGTCGGCTGCGGCCCAAGTGCGGTGATCATTTTAATATAATCCACAGTCAAACCTCTATTAAGCGGACTTCTGTTTAGAGGCCACTCTCCTTTAAGAGGTCATTCATAAATTCCCGTTGAGTCGATCCTCATGTATATTTACTGTAAAAGTGACCTCTGTTTTAAAACAGTCAACCTTTGTTAAGCAGTCACCTGGTCTTTTTCCAAGGCGACCGCTTTTTTTATATATGATATCAAAGAGGCAAGATTTTGCTGTAACTCCGAGTTTCGTGCTACGCACTCATCAGACAGTATGATGATGAGTGCGTAGCACGAAACTCGGAGTTACAGCAAATTTGCCTCTTTGATATCATATATAACTAGCTCTACACTTTATATGTATTGAGCACTCTTTAATGGGATCAGCTACTTCCTCATACGATTAAATTTTTTTAAAAAAAAGAGGTTCGACTTTACTACTTATTTTACGTTGAATCTTTCTATATTTGATTTGATTTAATTGTTTGGTTCGATCATCGGCGTCTAATATTTTCAAATATTGAAAACACTGTTGCTTGGATATTTTTGAAAATATAGGGTTTATATGTATTCGTCAACCTCTCATGACATTGCATCACATCTAATATCTTGTGTCTTGTTCCCTTCGCGGTTGTTATGGCCATGTTATGATTTTGTTATTTTACTAAATTAACTCAAGAACGGAGCACTTATATTCTTATATTTAATATCTTAAATTCTGTTCTTTGCTGTCCATTAATCAATTTCCTTTTCGATTTTCATTGTTTCCCAAAAAAAATATCATAAAACGAAATCATAAAACGTTTACTTTTTCCTTTTCGATTCTATCGTTTCATTTGGAAAGAAGATTGAAATGTCCCCAGTTTAATTATGAAATGCTTTTATCCGGTTTGTTTTTTGGGGATGTAGTGAAGTCCAATTTTCCTCCTTATTCCCACCTGCCAATTTTACGCACATTTCCCCTTTGACGGGTTTATCGCTGAAGGTTATTGTATGGCGTCCAACAACAGATTTATTTTTATGATAAACAGGCTGATTTGTCTTGCGTCTAGTTTGTTCGCCGTTTGCTTGTTTCTTGCAGTGGCGCGCTAGAGCGGATTTCGTATGAGTGGGAAACGGACGGTACTGTACTGTGACCGTAATCGTACTGTAACCAAATTCTAGTGCCCCATTGGGGGTTCACCAAAATTGTGCAGGCCAGGTCCGGTAACTGTGCGGTAACCGTGCGGTAACGGTGTCCCACTCATACGAAATCCGCTCTAGTGCATTTACTTCACAGTTTACCTGACCAAAGTGAACCATATTCTTTAATGACGTCCCAGATCCCCAATGAGCGATAATAACTGGCACTCGTTCCTAATAAAGCAAGCAACAATGTACTGCATAAGTATGATTTTCGATATAACAGTAGTGTTCGTACTCTGGTTCTTAGAAATTTGGAAAGTCGTGGAATTTCATATTTTTGTTTTTCAGGCTTAGGAAGTCGTGGAATTGTTTCATGGGAATTCCTTGAAAATATGCATCTTAAGATTACGACTTGTATTTCACGAATTTAGTTAAAACAAATGAATCGTTTATGCGATACCTCAGCAGTGATGCGCACAACATGACGCTATGTCGAAAGTGTTTAAGTAATTGGAAGCTATAAATAAACCGGGGGAGGGGACTCCGGGTTAAAGGTACCGGAGATGCTTGTCAATAATTTTGAAAAAGATCCATAAAAGGTCCCGGACGTCTTGAAAAAAGGGCGTGGCTGACAGACTTTTAGCCGCTAAGAGATTGTACAACGAATATTGTTAAATTAGTTACAATGATAAAAACGCAGAGGAAAATCAATATCGATGCGCTTTTTCTCTTTTGCCGACACCCTAAGAGATATAGGAAAAAAAATATCCAGAGACTCAAATTGGCACCCTAAAATATTCCCAATCACGAATTTTTACCCCTAAGAGATCCGAGCATCCCCGGTACTTTTACCCTGGACACCGACGCAGCTCACACTAGTTTACCGCTAGTTTCCACCATTTTGATATATTTACCATGTTGATGTTCGAGCTATCAAAACCAAAGAGTGTTTCCCCGGCTTTGTAGCAGAGTTTCTCTGATGTAGCACCCCCACAGAAACCTGCATCACTCAATCTCTTCATAAATCGGCCAGGCACAAACTCTTCGTTAACGTGATTTTGAAAAACGTGCTGAAAAAATAGAATATACATTTAGATAAAATATCTATCGATATTTTGCCGATGGAAGAATGTAAAATAATACATGCTCTCAGGGAGAGGGACAAGAGTCAGTGAAAATCACATCTAGGGCCTGTTGTATCGAAGGATGAATAGCGCTTTCCAGCGGAGAAATCCTTGTCTAGGGGAGAAAATCCATAAAATCTAAGGAGTGAATAAATTTATCAAGCCTTTATACAACCGTCAATGATGTCTAGCTTGTGTGCAGAACTGATTGCTCCTTGGCGAATAATTTTCCCACAGATATATTGTTGTTTTCCTAGATCTAAGTAGTACTAATTGCCCTATTTCATTATGACGTCACAGGATGTTTACATCGGAAAACGATGCTCAAAAACAGTGGATATTTGGACCCATTTATATTGTCTACTAAAGTAGAACCTCAATGAATCGCGTTTTTGATATATATCATGTATAAATGGTAGCTCATGTACATTTTATTTGATATGCAGTCACTCTGATCCCTTCTGGCGACCATAGTCCTTAGCGTTAAAACAATAGAATGTTTTGATGTGACGTCATAATGAACTAGGGCAATTTGAACTAAGATTGGACCTGAGGCGAGACGGTATTGAATGCTTCATTTGCAGAGTGATCGCAATGAGTTGCTCTTTTACCTCAACAGGGTATAAAGCGTAAGCAGCTCCTTTGACGACTTCAGAACAGTGAGCAACAGTGTAAACAGGCGCCAGAGCAAAAAACGTCTTGATTTTCTTTGCCAGCTTCTTATTGGATGAGAACCCTGTGAAACCAATTAGAGTTCCTTGGGAATGACCAACGTAGAACAACTCTGATTGGCCAGTTACTAACAGAGCATGATCTATCATTGCGGGTAAGTCGTACTCGGCCATATCTTGCCAGCTATAATTAAGATATTAATAATGATTATTTATCATTGCAATTTCAAATGCGCTGTTATGTCAGACACTTATTTATCATATAATTATCTATGAAAAGCCTATATTTCTCCATTTCGTAAAGTATATAGTGCAAGTAAGATAAAAGGTATTTTACGACATAATTTCTTTCATATGCAATTATATGATAAATAGAATATTACATGGTCGCTTGGAGATACGAATGTTATCTTCTCGCGTTGAAAATCTCTCCCTCGTCCGCTACGCTCACTCGTGCACCTATGTAATATCCTCTATATATATCGTAAAACAGTTTCAACTGAGAAGTCAAACCTAAAGATTTAAACTCTTGGGAAATAGAAACCATTGTTTTACACAACATAGATACCCTGCGAGATTTTTTTCCTTTTTCTTCATAGAAGGGGGTGCTCGCAGGGTACAATATAATTTTATGAAATCCAGAAATCCCATGTTCTCCGAGGAAGTCTTGTGTGCATCCTTGATTTGCAGTTATAAATCTAACAGTTTTTCTTCTATACAAATAACGATGTACTTACGAGAAATCCCAGTATCCCTCTTGATCGTTGTTCATTTTGACGTGACGTTGCGAATAGACATTACCCCGGATGTTACCTAACCAAACATCGAATCCCTGGTCTGCAAGTATATACCCCAAGCTATCCTTAGCTGAATTAAGTACCCAATTAGTACTGTCCATTAGTAGGCCGTGTTGTAAGAAAACCACTGGTTTTCCAGGGGAGGACTGGTACGAGTTTCTTCCATAAGGAATGCGTTGTATATTTAGTAAGAACCCGTCTTTTGTAACCACGTAGTGTTCTTCGACGGGGTAGCCACGACTTCTGATAATTTCACTCTACCATTGAACAAAATAAAACGAATATGTTATTGGCAATAACTATGATATAATATAGATAATATGATAAAATCTTTTAGCTTTCGAGGCCAAAACGTCTACAATTCTATAATTTTTTTATTTAGCTTTGCCCCTAGTATGGGCATGGACACCGCAACAGTGTGAGCCAATTACTGCGGACCCTGTACTCTCACACTCACTACCTCTACATTAAGTATTTTAGCACACAACACTCRTCACATGTTGATTTTTGCTGAGGGAGGAAAACCGMAGMACCCYGAGAAAAACCCTRGTGYSAAGGGAGAYAACAACACATAAAACAAACTCAAACTCACATATGGTCCGTGCCCGGGAATCGAACCCGGACCACAGCGGTGAGAGGCCAGCAGCTTAACCACTAGGGAACGCGTGCCACCCGTAGAGCGCAATACAGTGTACAATAGAGCGAAGCACAGTGTGGCCCACAAAGTGCCACAAAATGATAATATAAATCATGTTAATGGGGCAGGTATACCGTCTCTATCTCACGCCCCCTCCCAATCCCTGGCTCAGAAAATGCCAACCGTGTGTCAAGGTGGGGGTGTGCCGCACGACCCTCAAAGCCCTTACCCTATCCCAGACGATCCCATTTTTGTAATTTTACATACAAAGGTACATTATTTTAGCTCTGCCAAAGCGTGGCCTAGCAGATACCATCAGACAATGAGACTACCTACCCTATCGAGACAAAATGGCGAAAAGTGATACCCTATCCCAGACTTGGAGCTCCGAAAAGGGGAACCTATCGAGCGGTACTACCCGTATAGCAAATATAGGGAAGTACCC